CGCGTGGATTCTTTTATTATCGTTATTATTATTTTAATCTTCACCCGAGGATATTTTTCCCATTACTTTTCGGAGAGAGAGAGAGAAACATGGATGCGAGAGAGACACGTGGGCGGGTCGCCTCCCCCGGGAGCCCGACCGGGCCAGGGACGGAGCCTGCAGCCGGTCCCGTGCCCTCCGCGGGGATTGAACCCGGGACCCGTTCAGCCAGCGCGGGCGGCGCGCTGACCGCCGAGCAGACCGGCCAGGGCGCTCCTGGGCCCTTCCCGTCGGCCTGGGGCAAGCCTGGGCCCTCGGGGAGCCCCGTTTACAGATGACCGCCGAGGCCCAGGGACACTGGGACCGGCCTGGCTCCAGTCACACAGGGAGCAAAATGTGCAGCCAGACCGGATCCTGGGTTTGCCTGAGGTCAGAGCCTGGGCCTGCAATCCCGGAAACCTCTGAGTTCCTTCTTTAGCAGCTGTGAAGCGCCCTGCACCTTGTGACAGTGTGTCCCTACCATGCAGGTACCAGGATTTCCACGCATTCGACCTCTCAGGAGCCACCCGAGTCCTCGAATGGGTTGGTGACAAAGGTGAGGAGATGGCATCCCACCCAGGCTAGGACTCAAGAGCTCATCAGCCCTGAGAGACCCAGCCCTCTCTTCTGAGGGCCTCTTGGTCACTTGTGGCAATTTTGTGCCCCGTCTGCACTTACTAAGTTCTAGATCTCTTCCATTCCCCCAGTACAAGGCTGTGTATCAGTGACAACGAAATTTATCTTTGCTTCGGCGGGTTTGGCAGAGTTTCTAGATCCAGCCATGGTCCAGAGTCTTTCTAACGGTATGTCACAGCCGCTTCTGCTTCTTTTTCCCCAGGAGTTTTTGTTGCTGGCTATGAAAACCTGAAAAAAAATGAAATTCTTCATCTGATATTACCTCCCAGACTTTGTGTAAAAGAAAACCAGGTAACTTGAAATGTAAATGCTGAGTATATGTGCCTACTTTTAGGCATTTGTTAAACCTTTATAGAGCTATTGTTGTTTACTAGCTATTGTTCTGGATACTAGAGACAGTGGAAGGGGGAAAGAGAGAGAGAGAAACATCAATTGAGTGATACACATCGACTGGTTGCCTCCCACATGAGACCCAGCCAGGGCCCGGGGATTGAGCCTGCAACCGAGGTACCCTTGCCCTTGACTGGAATCGAACTTGGGACCCTTCAGTCCATGGCCCGACGCTCTAACCACTGTGCAAAACCAGGCAGGGCTCTAGCTTTTTTTGATGAAGCTGTGAAGCCTTTGTGACTCCTCTAAGAATGCCTGGAGTGTAACACTTGAGCTAGAGTGAAAAGGGGCTAGAGAAAGGTTAGGAGAAGGGTTTTGGACGCACAGGAAGAAAGCAAGCTGTCCATGTGGGCAGCTGAGACCAACTGAAAAATAGCACACAAGGCCCCGCAGGGAGAAGCATCTGTTGCCAGCAGAGCAGCTTCTGTGGCCTCCTGCCAGGCTGGGATCTGACTGCTTACCTGGAGCTTGTTTGAAACACTCCTTTGCAAAGCAGGCCCTATCTGATTGGCCACCCCTCTGTATTTCAGGGCTTATTCCCAGAAAGAGATTTCAAGGTACGCCATGGAGGATTTTCAGACAGGTCTGTCTTTGATCTGAAGCACGTGCCAGACACCAGGTACGGTCAGCTCTGTTACCCAGACCCTCCATTCAGGATGGCGTGGCTGGAAATGTCAAGGGTATTCTGCCTCTTTATCACCACCCCTCCCCTACCCCCTCAGCACATGTAAGCGCGCAGGCACACAGAAGTCTAGAGTACAAAGATCCTATTGCTTGGGGCTTCACAGTCCCTCAGAAGACCTTTCAACTACTATAATCCTCAGATCTCTGGAGCTGCTCCAAATGAACAGAGAGCAGAAGGCTGCTCTTAGTTTCTCAGAGAGTTGAGGGTAGGTGGCTGCGGCTCATAGCTCCGTTGGCAGAGACTGAGATTCTGGATCAGGGCTGTGTGTTCAGGTTCATTCTGGTGTCCTCTCAAGGACACTTCAGGCCACATGGAAGCCTGGACTCAGTCCCGTGGCTCACCATGGCTGTGGGCATGCCCCTAAAGTGGAGTGAGCCTGCTCCTCCTGTTAAATGAGGGTAACGGGATGATCCTTTCCTGCAGTGCACTTTCCTGAGGTGGGCATGTAGGGATCCCAAGCTGAGTGGGCTGGAGAGGGGGGAGGCTGGGGTATGTGGGTGAGCTCCTCACTGTCTGAATCAAGATTTCCTATCCATCCTAAATAGGTTGTTGGTGACCAGTGGCCTTCCAGGTTGTTATCTGCAAGTGTGGCAGGTCGCAGAGGACAGCGGTGAGTGAATTTGGTGCAGGTTGACACACACCTCCATCCCTTAATCTGAGCCAATTAAGAAGTAGACTCAGAGCCAGGTGGGAATCACAATCCAGTGCTTACTTTAATGTGGGCAGAGATGAACTGGCAACCACAGCATAGTGTACAGACCCTGAATGGAGCTTCAGTAACTTGCTTCAGGAATTGAGGTTACCAACCCAATCATAGGCAGAGCTCGGAGTGAATTACCTCTTCCCCAGGCAGGTGCAGTGCAGAGGCTAGGACAGAGCTATGACCACTCGGTTGAGCTCACCTCTTGGAGCAAGTCTGGATTGAGTGCTCTGGGAACCCTCAGGCTTGGGGAGCAATAAGTACTCAGACCCTCCGCATTCTCGCTCAGCCCAGACAGGGCCTTCTGCACGCTCCTTGCTTGTGAACTCTCGCGGGGGTCTTGTTTAAGTGCTTGCTGCTGCATACGTCATGTTAGTACTGGTTCCTTCTCTCATTCATCCTGCTCACTCCCCGACTTTTACCTGTTCTTTAGAATTTAAAACACATAGGCCTGCCTCCCTTTTCTTCAGAGAACATGGGAACCAAATAATGCCCCCCTCTTGGAGCAGGAAAATGTGCGTCTCCCTTTAAGTAGCGTGTGCAGCAGGCTACTTGTTCTGAACTGCGTTCTAAATGGCTTCTGTTGAAGGAAGCCTCAGTTGTAGATGCAGAGACAAGAGCCTGCCTGCCCACTAAGCAAACTGAGACACACAAATAGAACTAAAACGGATCCAACTTGAGGTGTCTCTTTCCTGTTTCGCGTGAAAAGGGCATGGACTTTCTTGAAGACAGTGGCATCTGCATAGCAGCCTTACCTGCAAGGCTTCGGCAAAGTGCGAGGTCGTAGAGCATGTTTTTGAAGACATAGTTCATGACCGTGTACCTGTTATTTTCAGTGGAGTGAATGACACCATCAGTGTGTTCNTGTTATTTTCAGTGGAGTGAATGACACCATCAGTGTGTTCTTTCCTTTTATTCATACTCCACAAAACTGTAAAAAGCCAGAGCTGCTTTCGANCTTTCCTTTTATTCATACTCCACAAAACTGTAAAAAGCCAGAGCTGCTTTGGGGGCTTTGAAGATGGTGGCTGTGACGCATTATCTCCCGTTTGCAAAACAGTTCATAAGACAAATCATAAAGACGTTAAAGTGCTTCTGGCAGTTTCAAAATGTAAATATAATGCGGTGTTTGTTTCCACAGCCTCTCTTGCCAGCTGTCAGTGCCCTTCCTTCCTTGACCATCTAAATGTACAAGGGAAGGCCTCTGGCCGGCTTTCACCTGCCATGTTTTAAACCTTCATTCACATTCTGGATTCTCCCTCCCCTCGTTCACTTTCCCCTAGATGTCATCGAAGCTGTCAGCACCGTTGCTGTGCATGAGAAAGAGGGGAGTCTCTGGCCGAGGCTTGCCATCTTCTCATCAATGGCACCTGGAGTCCTCCACGGGGTGCGGCTCAGCGGTCTGAAGGTCGTGGATCTGGAATCCCAGAAGACCACGTACGCCTCAGGTATGGCCACAGTTTGCCCCTTGTTGGCTCCTCCAGCCCCTGTCTGCTTTCCAGTCCTACTCAGCCACGTTTGGACTGAATTCAACCCTGTGTGCCAGATGTCAGGGATACAAGATGAATGAAAGGCAAGCCCTGGCTTCTAGGGGCTCCTGTGCTAGGTTGGAGGAGGCAGTCCCAGGGACCAGCACCCACCCAGCTGGGTAGAACAGCAAAATGAACAGGAAAGGGGAGACATGGTTTATTCTCCCTGGGACTGGGGGTGCTTCCCCAAGCAAGGGACTTGTGACTAGCCAGCCCTGCCAGGTTGCCAGACCGATGTGACTCCAGCAGCTTTTCGCTTTCACTATCTTCCAGGTGTCAGTGACAGTGCGGAGCTAAGTAGCCTGCAGGTCTTGGATGCAGACACCTTTGCCTTCTGCTGCACCTCGGGCCGGCTGGGGCTCGTTGACACCCGCCAGCAGTGGGCACCATCAGAGACCGTCAGCCCTAGCCCTGGGTCTGGTGGAGGGAGGTGGTGTGCAGAAGTCAGGGGCAAGGGCCAGGGCCCTGGACCCAACATCGCCAGCCTTTGCTCAGAGGGGCAGCTCTGTCTTCTTGACCCTCGGGACCTCTGCCATCCTGTGAGCTCAGTCCAGTGCCCAGTGTCCACACCCAGCCCTGACCCACAGCTGCTTCGAGTGACTTGGGCTCCAGGCCTGGACAACTGCTTGGCCATTTCAGGTACTGCATCTGTTGTATGAGCTTTCTCTTCCAAAGGACTGTCGAGTGCTTAGGAAGGAGCCTCTGGCCCCAAAAGTTAAAGTTGCTCACAGAGAATCTCCAAAAGAACTCTCCAGGCTCTGCAGGGGCCGCCCCTTCCCCATTCTGGCTGCTAAACTTCCATACCTGAGTAGCAGGGCTTTCCTATCCTAGCAGGAATTCCGTTCTGAGGTTGGTCGAGAGGCCTGCAGATATTAAGACACTAGGACAGCCATGGGGCTGCACCAGAAAGAAAAGTAAAAGAATGTATGTCCAGGATCAGCCTCAGGCCTGGCACGTGATAGATATACCACAGATTCTCGTCATCACGTGCCCCGTGGAGTTGGCAGCTGCCTGCACAAGGGCAGATGTTCCACCCCTTGGTTGGCCCATAGCCTGTTTTGGTGTCTTAGAGCAAACTATAAAAATTATTTTAGAGGTCCACTGTCAATCTTCTCATCTCTCGTTCATCCTCAGGTTTCGGTGGCACAGTCCAGGTCTATGACGTCACGTCTTGGGGTGGATTGGAGGGCCAAGTAGAGCCTCTCTTCACTCACAAAGGTCACATCTTCCTGGATGGCAATGGGACAGGCACTGCTCCACTGGTCACCACCCACACCTGGCACCCCCACAAACCAAGGACTTTGTTGTCAGCAGCAAGTGATGCCTCTCTGCACGTGTGGGACTGGGTGGACCTCCGTGCCTCCCGCTGACACCAGCGTCTTCCTGCCGGGTCTCTGGAAGAGGAGCTGCTGTATGTACAGTGGTACTGATTTAGGACTCAAGTGACCACAGGTCGTTGTTATCAGCTGAGTGGCTTTGGGCCAGTTAAGCAGCCTCTCTTAACCTCAGTGTCTTTATTAGTAAGATGGGAAAGTTAGAAGAAATATATGGAAAACATCAGGTAGGGTGCATGGTAGAGATTTGGTGGCTACTCTTGGATCAGAGCAGTTGTGGGAGACAGGATCCTGCTGCTTCCAGCAGGTTTCAGTCCGTAGGCTTTTGGCATGAGAGACGCTTTCCTCACCCAGTGGACTGTGGGAGGCATTCTCAAGCAATGTTGACCATACACAATCATCCCTGTGTACTGGCTTACAGCCCACCCCCCATGTAAGCTGTGGCTCCAGCACTTTGCACTGTCGGGAGGCTGATATTAACAGGGATTAAGGCACTTGTGTTGGAGTCAGATCAGGTGTGGGTGTGTGGAAGACTTCAGAGACACAAGGTGTGGAGCCCAGGCCCAGTGCAACCTGCCCACCAGCTCTCTTGGGGCTGCTCCTGTTAACCCCCAGGCAAAACTCAGACCCAGCCAACAATACGGCTGCTTTGCAATAGGACTCAAAGGTTCATAATGTCAATAAAGACCAGTGAAGCCCCATGATTCAGGCTGGATGACAGCTGTTCTCCAAAAAGAAAACAGTTTTGTGTGCTCTCCTTGATCAGAGTGGTGTTTAGCCAGTGTAAGCAGTTTTAACGACAGGGACAACAGTCAGGGCAGCCAGTGTTGTGCATTCTCTGAAGAGAGTCTGAGCCAGATGCGAGCTGCAGGCCCAGGGGATAAGCAAATTCCACTTTGACACAAACAGCAAAGTGTTTATTACACATGCCCCACACGGCTGGCAACCCAGGTGGCTCTTGTCTCTCACATTCCTCTATTTTAACTACTCAGAACTAGGTTCCTGTATCTCACCAGCTCCCATATTTCAGGTTCTTTCTGCAAGTCCTCCACCAGGGTCATTGCCTCCTCTCTACTTTCCGGATGCTTTTGTCTCACCCAGATCTGGATCTCTTGGGGAAGAACAGTGAGATCTGTTCCTTTGTACACCTCCCTGGTTTCAGCCACTGGCAACAGAGCTGGAGTTGGATGACAGCCTCCAAGGGTCCTGATGCTTCTGGCTAGTGGAAATGCCAAAAGTGCTGGCAGGAGATGTCTGGTCCAGGGTCACTCCCTTGAAGGGAAATTTTCTGCTCCCAGTAGGAATCATCTCCCAGCTTCACTATTGGAAGCTCTTCTTGTACTTGAGGAACCTGGATTTGTTGGTCCACAGCTACAGCCATTGTTCAGCTCAGAGGAGAACCTTGCAGCTCTGCTCTTGAAGTTCAAACATCTTCCTTGACCTCACTGGGAAGCCACCTTCACATAGGAGTCACTAAGCAGAACTTGAAATTCTAGGGCCAGGGACACACATTCCAGAGTGAACCCTAGTGAAAACCACTAAGTGTGAGCCCAGCAGGTTGGAGGTGAAGGAATGAGCTTTCCTGTTCCCGGGGGGGTCTCGCCTGGTCACCGGGAAGGCAGCTCCAGAAGTTTGATTGAGAGGTCAAAGGCTGACGGTCTGGCTGGTAAGGGGGCTAGAGGCCGTTTGCACAGCAGTTCGATTAAGGCCGAGAAAATGCTGGTTACCCGCCAGAAGAATGAGGGTAGCCGCCCACCCTCCCAGGTCACTGGTCATCAGGGTCGCAAAGGGGACGTGCCGGCAAGTATCGAGGGTGCCCAAGGGAGCAGCACCTTGGAGAGCAGCGCCAGCTCCCCCCGCAGTTCAAGTGCCCTGGAGGAGGGGCCGTGGTGGGGCTACAGGCTTTAATAAGAACACTCCCACGGGCCTGGGCCACTGTCAGACCCCGGGTCTCTCCCCGGCCACACGCTCCCAGCCAGGGCGGCCTGAGCCCCAGGGGAGACCCGTGCCGCCCGCCTGCAGGAGGCCTGGCCCTGCCACCCTGCAGCGTCCCCGCACTGCGCCGGAACCAGTGCCACAAGGTGTGGGCACCAGAAGCGGAAACGCGAGCTCTGTCTCACACTCTAAAGTCAAGATTTTAAAACTTGGGGGGAAAAAGAGATGTGAAGCAGGTGACAGGCACTGAAGCTGGAGAGGACGGGTGTGGTGGCAGTGTCAGGCCTCCCGGAAAAGTGCAGGGAGGGCCTCATGGAGGAGGTGGTGGGAGTCTCTTCTAGTAAAACCTGATGAAGACAGGTCACCGACTTCCTGTTCACAGCCTCCCCAGTACCTAGCAGTAATGGAATTGATGGGGATTTCACAGCCAGTGTGGTTTGTTTTAACAACGGTCAGTACTTAGGTTAGAAACCTCCTCCGTGTGTCTGATTTAGTTGATTCTGGATGGAGATGATTCAGGAGGCCAGCTGGCTCCTCAGCCAAAGCTGCCACTCCAAGTCTTGGTTGACAGGTTGGATAGAGTTGGCAGAGGACACTGGGAAGGTGTGTGCGCTGGTCAAGAACACAGATCTAGGTTCACCCAAAGGTGTCCTTTTTCAAGCAAATGATTTTTTACTCCCTGAAGGTCTTGGACCATTTTCAGCCTGGGGCAGGAGGAGGGATGGTGGGGAAGTGAGGTGCAGGTTTGCTAACGACAGCCGAGTTCAGGTTTCTGACGCACATTAAAGACAGAGTCGGGAAGGATGGGACTCTACTTTATTAGGCAACACTGAGCATCCATCCTACAAGAACCAAGGCCCATTCTGAGCGCAGGCCCCATGCATAGGAGGCGGTGGTTTCACATTTCCCAGAAATACCTTTCTACTCTCCTTTTCTCCTGACAAACCCCTTCACCAGCTATCACCCCATCTTCACCATTTCAAGGAGCAAGGACCCAAGAACAAGGCCCTGGTAGCACCCTAAAAGCAGGGGCAACCTCTGTAGGACAACGCTCGATTCAAGCCCAGATCTCTCCAGGGGACAGATGACATGTCCTCAAAACACTTCCTTAGAAGTAACCCTCTTAGTATACAAAAGCTACTGCATGGAATTCTAGCCCTGCGTGTGCAAAGTAAAAAACATAATGAGGAACTGACAAGCATAGACGAGTGGTTACAGAGCTTTGTGTCTGTGGGGTAAAGACATGAGCCCACCCTGCGGAGTGCAGGACTGCGTCACTGAACGCTGATGAGAGAAACTGCCATCCACCAGGGTAGACAGCTGGGGTCTCCGCCTTCGCACTCAAAAAATGAAGTCCGAAAAAAACTAGTGCGTTCCCCCTGGCAGCCAACTCACCACAGGATAATAACAGAGACAAAGCAAAAGTGTAAATCTGATTTTACACCTTCCCTGGCAGGCCCTGTTCAACTCAATGGAAAGGTTACTGGGACAACGGGTCCAGGCCATACTCCGTGTTTCAGTGTTACTGACACATTCCAGGAACAGAGGACTTGACCTTCATGTGGTGACACAGAACTGGAGAAGCCTCTCCACCTTGACCTGGAATCCAAGCCCAGGACAGAGCCGGGAAGAGCTGGTGCTGACAGGGGCAAGGGGCCTGGAATGCTAGTAGCTCGGGCTGAAGGCACCTCAGCCCAACAGAGTGGCAGCAGCACAGCCGCCAGGCCGCACCAACAGATTTCCAGTATTTCTCTCTCTGAGGACTCAGCGGGATGCGGGCCATGCTGCCTTGCATTCCACATGGGGAAACGCCCTCAGCAGAGGGATCAGGAGAAAGGGAGCCAATCAAGCCATGAAACGAAACAGGAAAAGACCCAACTTCCTGACTTTGCAGCCCTACACTGTTCTTGGGGTTTGGCTCCGTCCACTATTGATGGCGGGGTCCTAGGAATGAGGAGGAGCAGTGGTGAGATTCTGACACATCCCCAGAGACCATTTGGGAAGAATGGCTCTTCTAATGAACATCCCTGCGGGGGACAGTGTGACAGTTCCCTCCCCTGGGCCAGCCCCCTCACGGTTCCTCTTTGCCACGTCAATAAAGTTTCTCTTTCATGTGAGTTCTCTGATGTGTAATGAAATTGGAGCTGTTGCTGAAGCCTTTGCCACACTCGGGGCATTTGTAGGGCTTCTCCCCTGTGTGGATTCGCTGGTGTATGATGAGAACTGAATTCCAGCTAAAGCCCTTCCCACATTCAGGGCACCTGTAGGGCTTGTCCCCCAAGTGGGCCCTCTGGTGCATGACCAGGATGGAGCCCCGGCTGAAGCTCTTGCCACACATGAGACATTCGTAGGGCTTCTCGCCCGTGTGGGTCCGCTGGTGCACCACAAGCTGGGAGCGCTGGCTGAAGCACTTCCCACACTCGCTGCACTTGTAGGGTTTCTCCCCCGTGTGGATCCTCTGGTGCTTGATGAGGTTGGAGCTCCAGCTGAAGCTCTCCCCGCAGGTCAGGCACTCATAGGGCTTCTCACCCGTGTGCATCCCCTGGTGAGCGATCAGGCTGGAGCTCTGGCTGAAGCTCTTCCCACACTCCCCGCATTTATAGGGCTTCTCCACCAGGTGGGTTCTGCGGTGCGTGGCCAGATTGGAGCTGCGGCTGAAGCTCTTCCCACACTCGCTGCACTGGTAGGGCTTCTCTCCTGTGTGAGTTCTCCGGTGGGTGATGAGGGCTGAGCTCTGACTGAACCTCTGCCCACAGTCGGGACATTTGTAGGGTTTCTCCCCTGTGTGGATCCTCTGGTGTCGTATCAGGTTAGAGTTGTAACTAAAGCTTTCGCCGCATTCCTTACATTCATAGGGCTTTTCTCCAGTGTGGATTCCCTGATGTGTATTGAGGCTGGACCGGTTGCCAAAGCTCTTGCCACACTCAGGGCATGAGTATGGTTTCTCTCCTGTGTGGGTTCGCTGGTGAGCGATGAGATTGGGGCTCCTGCTGAAACTCTTGCCACACTCAGCACACTGAAAGGGTTTCTCGCCCGTGTGGATCCTCTGGTGGGTTATGAGGTTTGCGCTGCGGCTAAAGCTTTTCCCACAATCCCTGCATTTGTAAGGTTTCTCCCCGGTGTGAGTCGTTTGGTGTCTACTAAAGTTCGAACCATCACTAAAGCTTTTTCCACATTCGTCACATTTGTAGTATTTCTCTCCTGTGTGGGTTCGCTCATGCGTGATTAGGTGGGATTTCCGGCTGAAGGTCTTCCCGCACTGGGGACATTCATAGGGCTTCTCACCCAGGTAGGTGCCCTGGAGGCCTATGAGCTGTCCAACTTCCCTGCCTTGTGATGGCACATCCCTGTGGTCCTTACTTGAGGCATTTCCCTGGGGCCTCCTGGAGGGGCAGTTCCTCTCAAAGTCACTTTCCCAGTCAGACTGCTGAACGCCTTCCCCTTCAGGCATATCTGAGAAGATCTCATGTGACTCCACGTCCTCAAATATGTCTTGATTAGAGTTCTCCCCATTTTCACTGTGGATCTCAAAATCTGAAATAATGAAGAAAAACATACAATTTACACTCAATCCCCAGTTGGGGGCGTGGAGGAGGCAGCCGATCAATGACTCATCATTGATGTTTCTCTCTCTCTCCCTCTCCCTCCCTCTCTGAAATCAATAAAGACATACATTTTTTAAAAGGAGCTTATAGAATAATCTCATGCATTAAAATATGTCCTCAGACTAGGGACTCTAATAAATCTATCCCAGGATTAAGCCAGAGCAGCAAAGCTGTGGGCCTCCATCACACTGTTCTGACCACGGGGACCTGTTCACTGAACTGAGTGTCGGTTTAATGGCTCTGGCCGATTGTGACGCACACTCTAAGGAGTGTCATTAGTACTTAATGGCCGTCAGGAACACGGTGGCTGCCAGGAAGCTGTTAAGGGCATTGTTTATAACACACAGTGTCCTCCTGATGAGCCCAAGGAGGAAATCTCCCTTTGACCGAAATACAAGCTAACAACCGAAAACATTTTTTTTTTTTTTAATGACTTGAGTAAACTGCTCTCTTCTGAGTGGGAACATTGGCTATTAAAGGTTTCACTGCCTTAAAATCAGAAGCCCTGGTACATTGTGGGATGAGCTCAGAAGCTACAGGGGAAACAAACACAAACTCACACTTCATTTCAGTGAAACTAGGAAGGGAATCGATAGGCAGACACTAATGCACGTAAGGCCTTCCAAAAACAGGCGAGGCTGGGCAGAGCCCATGTGGAGGGAGAGGGATGGTACTCGGGGGAAGATCTCAAAAAGCTTCGGCAGAAGTCACTTCCTGAAGGTGAGGACTTGCCCTCGAGGACAGCAGTGCATTTGGGGACTGAGATAAGCAGGGCTGGCTTCTTTGGTTCGAAGGAGAAATGGAAGGTGAGGCTACACCCAGAACCACACGGAGGAGCCCCACGAGGAGAGCGCCTTCGACTCGCAGGCACTGATCACGGGAGGTATTACTCCAGAGAAAAGTGACTGGTTTTCATCCACAAAAAAAGTTAAATGGAGCAACGGCGTCTCTGAAGAAAGACCCTAGAGCAGAATGTGAGGAAGCGACGGCGAGGCGAAGAACTGTGAGCTGGCAAAACGGAGGAAAGGGGGGGACACCCAGAGACATGAACACCAGTGGGAAGAAGCACAAAGAAAACAGGCACCTCGGAAAGCACAGAAACGGAGGGGGGTGAAATGGGAAAAGCAACGGAATGAAAAGGAAACAAAGGAAGAGGTGAGAAGAATTCAGGAGATGTTAGAAGAATCAGTACACAAAGCGGAGTTCTCAAGAAAGGGAAACGAAACCAAAGGAACAGCACAAGCCTTTATAAAGGCGTAGGAGCCGTGAGAGGTGTGTTGTGTGCCCAGGTGGTTCATGAGACCGAGCACAAGGAGGCAAAAAGGTGAAAATCATATGGGGGAAGAAAAGCAACGGGCCTCAGGTTCCCCTGCAGTAGCCCCCGGCGCCGGCAGAGCAGGCAGCAACCTCGACCCGTCACGTAAGGAAGGAAACGTGCACCAAGGACCTCACGTTCAACAAGACGGTCCTTGGGGTACAGAGTTTATAGGCAAACAGCTTCGAATATACACAGTTCCACAGAGTACTGGTCCAGTGAGCCCCTCCGGGGGACTACGAGGGGGTAATTTTATCAACCAGGAGACTAAGGGACCCCTGAAGCAGCAGGACTGGGGGTGAACACCTGATATGCACAACTCGAGGAGCCCTAAAACAACCATGGCGAATGGGGTGGTTGGTTTTGGGTGCTTTTTTAAAAATATATCTTTATTTCAGAAAGAGCAAAGGAGAGGGAGAGAGAAAGATAGAAACATCCATGATGGGAGAGTCATTGATCGGCTGCCTCCTGCACGCCCCCGACTGGGGATCGAGCCCGCAACCCAGGCATGTGCCCTGACCGGGAATCGAACCTCAAAAAATTAAAAATAGAGCTACCCTCTGGCCCCACAGTCCCTCTTCTGGGTGTGTACTGCATCCTAAGCAACAACATCACTATCTCTGAGAGATCTGCGCCCCGACATTCACTGCAGCATTACTTACAATAGCCAAGGCAAGAGAGTTTTAGAAACACTATCAAATTTCTGAGGGTCCCATAAGCAAAATAATAGTCTCTTGCTTTAATGGGCATTTTCCTGATCGTCTCTAAGGCTGAATTTATTTCCTATAACTCGAGAGACAGGAATCTGTTTCTGTGCAAGTTATGAATAGGGACCCAATCTTGGTTTTTCAAATACGGCTCACTGACTGGTTCTTGAACTGCCACAGGGCCTCTTCCCTTATGGGTCCGTAGGCACGAGCTGCAGTCGTAGCTCAGTCTAAACCCGTGGTTCTTGTATTTTCTAACCTTCGACACACACTCGACTCCCACGCACAGCACACTCCCTGTGGCTGTGGCTGTTCAAGGGGCCGCATGTGTCCCCCTGCCTGGCAAGAGGCCTCCTCTTTCCCTCCCATGCTAGAAAGCACATCAGAATGAGTGTGAGGAAAACTGGTGTCCATGTGGGGATGAACCCGAATTTACTATAATTTATTTATGACAATGAAACTGGTCACTAACTGGGGTGCTGTAGCGTGGGTCAGGCTCAAATTCTCAAAAAGCCCCTCCCACCTGATTGTGACACATGGCCGTGTCTCAACACCACGGCTGTACCTTCAGAGGCACTGGTCTGAAACACAGAAGTGGCCCCATACAGCTTGTGTCCAACTCGGGCTCTCCCCACAGGAGCCCCACCCCGAAGAGCCTGGCGGGAACCTGATCAAACCCGAGTGACCGGGAACATTGTTCCACCTGAACTCTGGCTGCCTGAAAGACTAGCCACTGATAGAAACAGTAGTGAGCTCTCTTATCAGTGTAAGTGAAGGACGGCCAAACATTTTACGTTATAACATTACATCTCTCTAAGAGTTCTGTACCGTACACACTCCAAATACTTAAGTGGATTCAAAGTGATTTTGTCTTGAAGCTGAGAATCATAGCTTTAGATAGAAAG